CAACCCAAAAGCCTGAACTCTTTAATAGTACTAAAAATGGCAGGTTCTAGGCAGAATCAGTCTAAAATCTCTAAAAGATCTGTAAAGCTACAACAAAACAGCAAGAGTGGGGCAGGCAACAGAGAATCAATTCAAACTCTAAAGAAACCCTACCAAAAAGCTCCAAGGAAACCTAAGGCAAAGCATGCAAAGGGATTCCATTCACTTCAAAAGCAGGCAACGGTATAGCAGAAGGAAAAATCGCCAGAAAGACAACCACCAAAATATCCTCATTTATCCAAATAAATGTACCATGAAATAAGCACAAGATTTTTTTTAAAAAAAATCAAATTAATCAATGACTACACAAATACACAAACACACACATTTGCACATACAGAAAGAGACAGGGACACATAGTAAAAAAGATACCTTCAAAATCCCAACAGAGAATTCCGAATGGGGCCGAGAACCCTACCTTCCCACATTTCTTCTGCAATCTTTTGCCTTGCTACCCATTCCAAATGTCGAACTGACCTTAAATTGTTGGCATGAAAGGCAAACTGGTCACCCATATCTGGTATCTGGAATTCAAACTGGAAACCTTTCACCAATTACTACCATAATCCTGCTCAGGGTAATCAAGAAGTAGTGCAGCTAGCACCTCCCCCTTCACTGGGCTGGGCCCTCTTGGAGGATGGGTACCACCTCCTGGTGGCTTCGTTGTCCCTCCCTGTATCCTGGGTTCCCCCCCCCTTTCCTAGACTGTCCTTAGAGTATCCTGTAAAGGGATGTAAAACCAGCATGACTTCCTGATGCAGACACCCTGAGAACTGAATTCCCAACAAAGCAGTCAGGGTTAAACTGAGTGCCCCGCCATAATGCGGGAAATGGTTGGCTGGCTGGGTCGCTGTATAAGGTGTCCACGGTCATAACACATCTGAAGGGCAGGCTTCGCTGGAGCCATAGCTGGGGATTCTGCTCAGCCCACCATATGGCAGGGTGTATTGGAGTATGCGTGTGAATGGCTTCGTCATAAAGAAGCCATGCATGTCCTGGAAAGTCCACATCTTGAGTGTTCAGACCTGAGAATCCCACTGTAGCGTTTAGGGAAGAAAAGACAACCCAATAACCCACCGCTAGAGCTCAAGACAGAGAAGACCTCCACAGCCTCTTTTCTCCCTTACATTCTTCCACACCTCAACATTTATTTCTTCTCCCAAATCTACCTGCCATATAGCTTTGAGAGCCTTCTGATAGTCCTTGGTTGAGCAGGCTGTCTCAGTACTACAAAATACCACAATGAGAAATGTTCAAACCTTGGTGAGATTCTTGACCTCTGTAGTATAAATGAGACAAAATGTGCTTTTTTCTTTCTTTCTCCAAGATTACTGCTATTTGACTCAGTGCTCTTAGGTGGGGTAGACAAAACATAGCAGACAGGCTACAGTATATGCAATCCCCAGGATCTTTGGGGCAATCACAGAGCCCTTCCCATTTCAAAACTGAATTCTATGTAGTAGAGTCAGACCTCAAAGGATCCACTTTTGCAACTTCCAGGGCTTCCCTATGTCCTTCAGCTCCACCAAGCCCTGAAATTCCTACATGGACATTTCCTGTTTAAATTTTTAGCAATACACCCGGTCGTTTGTGGCCAGCATCTTAAATAAATGAGCTTAAAGTAAACATAGTAATGTCCATCCATTGAGGCTGTACCAACAACAGTGCTTAAATCAGAGCACTACAGATCAATCTGGTTCGCAAAGCGTCATGCAATTGTCAATGAGTATAAGTAGCCACAAATGCACTACACAATTTTGATATAAAATTTGGCCACAACTTTATTAGATACCAACCTAGCAGTTCAAAAGCATGTAAATGCAAGTAGATAAATAGGTACCACCACAATAGGAAGGTAACGGCATTCCATGTCTAGACGCACTAGCCACGTGACCACGGAAACTGTCTACGGACAAACGCTGGCTCTACGGCTTGGAAACTGTGCCCTAGAGTTGGACACAACTGGACTAAATGTCAAGGGGAAACTATTCCTTATTAGATACAGTTGCCAATGGCTCTGGAATGTATTGTCATCAGTCACCCAGCCTGGTGTCTGAAGCTGCCCAAGGATGGGCCACCATCAGAGTTCGTAAATGTTTCTCTGTACATTTTTCTGTCCATGGAAGGAAGATATTCATTCTAATCTGCCTGTACCATGTCATCAAGATATATATACAGGGACATTGGCCCCTAATTGATTTTATTAACTCTTTTCAGGCTTTCGCACTACCCCCTGCATCCATTCACGTTTCAAAAACAACAACAAAGTTGTGATATGTAACTCACATTCCAACCACAAATATGTACAGAGAGAAAAACCTATCTTCTTTACTGACAAAGCAAACATGAAACGTAAAGGGAGGAAGGGCAGGAAATGCTCCAAAGCTGATGTGAGTTCTTGAGTGCCAGCTATGCTACTTAAGCTCCCCAGATCGACGGGATTGAAAACTCTTCCCTTGGAAGGAGAAGCCACCCCACAAGGGTGGTCAACAAATCATCTAGCACTGATACTACCATAGCTGACAAAATGAGGCTTCAGCTGAGTCAGAGACCTCGTCCTCTTTCAAAATAAACATGCAAATAGGCTACTTTCCCTTCTCACGGACCTGATCACAGCAGGCCCTTGATCCCTCTCGCCTCTCTATCAACTGTTGGGCAGTGTATGGGGCAGAGTGCCATTGCATTCATGCTTGTGGACTTCCCAAAGCTACTGCTTGGTTCTTCTTTGGGAATATTTATGCCTTCTGACTAGAAGTGTCTCATTTTATGTTGGTCTCATTGACTTGTGCCAAAAACAGAGAGAAGTTCATCAGCAAAAATCCTGGCTTGCTGGCAAAAGGACCAAGTTTCACCTTCCAGCTAAACTGTTCTCTGTTTCTTTGAAAAAGAAATCAGAATGCATGGGAAGGAGAGAGATTCGAGAGGTCTCAGAACACCCTTCCAATCCTTGATCAACAGCACTAGTGACCTCACTTTGCGGAAGGCAGCTGTCATGGCACATGGCCAGGATCCAGAGGCAACATGGACAACCTCCAGCCTCTTCCTTCTTCCCAGTAGTTTTTGAGAAATTCTTCTTTATTCAAGAATTCAAGTAAATTGCCAGGATTTCCCCCTCTGCAGTTTTCAACAAAGTTCTCAGACTCCAAGCTAAACTAGATAAACAAAATCAGGAAACTCTGTATTGTAGCTGGACAAAAATGAGAACATTAGTATATTTGTTTTCCTTCTGAAGAAGTTAAATTACCACGAAATGAGCTTATTGGACAATCTTTCATGCTTAGAGCTTGTCAACACTACCCCACGGATCCAAGACCTTTGACTGCACATTTGAAGGGACTTTTTAACTCAACACTTCCAGACCTTATTTTTTGATTTTCTGTGAGTCGATACCTGGACTGCATACATTTGCATTGAAGAACTTTATCATATTATTTACTTATTTAGCATAAAACAGAACATTGTTTACAAATATTGTTTGATAGTTTGATATCAGTTGGTGATACATTTTTATCAGTACTTTTGTATATAATAATGTTCTAATTTTTGTCCAGCTACAATACGGAGTTTCCTGAATTTGTTTCTCTTCTCTTCTGTACGCCCTAGATTTTGATAAGTCCAAGAGAAAGTAGGCTTGACAGTGTAACAGAAAAACATCAAGACATATTTTGAGGCTTAATTATCATCCTTGCAATTATTACAATAACTTTGTGCAGTGCCTCTGCTCTTCAAATCCCATGAGGAAAATGAAAGCCTGCATTTCAAAGAAGAAAAAAAGGAGGGGAAACTTCTCTCATAATATAAAGGAAACTGTCCAAACAACTCAAACCATCTCACACTCAGAATATGGGCAAAAGACGGTCTGTCAGCCTAGGTTCTTCAGTGCCTTCTCTTAGGACTGATAGAGTTTGTTATTGGTTACTGTGGATGATCATTCATGGGGTCCGATGGGGACTTGTCTAGATCTTTGTCAGCAGCACTGCTTCTCCTCCTACAACACTGGTGCTCCAGCCAGAGTTTCAGCTACTCCATGGGTGATTGGCAGCCAGGAACCCAGATGCCTTCAGATGTTCATCCTTCAAATGAGGTTATGATTGGTGGATTTGTTTCCATAGGACTTGGCAGCTTCTTCATGGAGACATTTAAGAAACACCCACAATCTCTCAGGACTGGTTAGTAAGTAGATCTTAGGCTCTCTCTCTCTTTTGTTGTTGTTAAGAAATGCTGAGGTGAAATCTGGTCCTCATTAAAATTTGGTCTCAATCCCTTGCTTGTTCTTTCAAGGAGGCTTTGGAGCTGAGTTATTTTCATAATTGAGGGATGGATAACAAAGGGGTCTTCCATTGGGCATCAGTTACAGTTTGGAGCTGGTAAAATACATTGGATCCTTTCTGGATGGGCAATGTATTATTCATATATTTAGAGTTCTCATATTTCAGTAGATTTTTCAATTCATTCTGTTTTGCCATTGAAAGATTATATATCCTTTGATTGCATATCATAAAATACCTTTTCAGTGCACTACATTGCATTTCAGTCCTGTTTTGGGCCACCATCAGAGTTCGTAAATGTTTCTCTGTACATTTTTCTGTCCATGGAAGGAAGATATTCATCCTAATCTGCCTGTACCATGTCATCAAGATATATACGTACAGGGACATTGGCCCCTAATTGATTTTATTAACTCTTTTCAGGCAGAGATAATTGAATAGGAGGGTTCGATTGTTCAGTGAGGTTTGTAGGTGCATATTAGCTTTAAATTGAATTGAAAGAGTTCAGAAACATAATAGAAAAAATATTCTCCATTAATTCAATGACTGACAAGACAAGGGAGAGTATGGAGGTTAGAAGAAGAATGGGGGACATTCAAATTGATTCCACAAAGCAGCCAATTGCAACAGACTCTGTATTACTTTGGATTCTTTGAGGTCACCATGTAAGAAGCTTTTGAACTGTCTTTGCAGTGTGATCCCTAAAAACTACCAGCAAGTCTTGGCCTTTGCTTTTGCCATTCATGAGATCAAGAAGAATTCCAAACTTCTACCCAATGTCACCTTGGATTACAAGATTTATGACAATTACTTTGATTCCTGGATTGCCACTGACAATACTCTGGATCTTCTGTTTGGGAAGAAAGGAAACCCCCTCAATTACAACTGTGAAAGAAAGGAGGAGCTCTTGGCAGTCGTTGGTGGGCTCACCTCCCAAAATTCCATGCAGATGGCCCATATTTTAAGCACCTACAATATACCACAGGTATTGAAATGTGATGAGTTAAGGATATATGGATATAATGATCATTCTGCCATGGTGCGAAGTTACTATGGCAGGGAAGCTTCACTTTCCCACCTGGAGAGCGGCATTGCGAGGAGGAGCTCTTGGCAGTCGTTGGTGGGCTCACCTCCCAAAATTCCATGCAGATGGCCCATATTTTAAGCACCTACAATATACCACAGGTATTGAAATGTGATGAGTTAAGGATATATGGATATAATGATCATTCTGCCATGGTGCGAAGTTACTATGGCAGGGAAGCTTCACTTTCCCACCTGGAGAGCGGCATTGCGGTTGTATTACACCTCTTTCCGAGGGGAGGAGGGACGGAGCTTTTAAGAAGCCCTTGGTCCCTCCAGCTCAAGCCTCTTTGCTGTTTTGCAAGCGAAGAGGTGAGCCCTGCAGCCAAGTGAGGAAGCCGTTTCGTTTTCCCGGCACGAGGATGCTTCTCCCGTCCAGGATTTGGGTTGCACTGCAGCGCTTCCCAGCTGGTTTCTATTTGATCAGTTTATTTTAAACCTCTGTTTTTACTTGGTGGGAACAGAGAGTGATTGTAGTGGGAACCAGCATGTAAGGGGAGCGTTTTGTCTTTTTTACATTTATTGTTTGACCCTCCCCTCTTTTGTGGTCTCATTAACTAATATAAAAAAGAGAGAGAGAGAGATAAGAGAAAGGAAGGAGTATTGGAATTTTGTTTACAGAGTATAGTAGTAATTAAACAACAGGTAATGAATAAGGAGACAGGTTTAATTGGGTTTTCCACACGGGAGGCTGCTTTTCTCAGCAAGGATTTGGGTAACTCTTCAGCAGAGATGGCTCGCCATTTACGAGATATCAATTTAGGACGGTTACTTCTCAGGTCTTCAGACAGCAGGCATTGATGGCTGGAAATTTGGCACTCATTTCTTTAGGATAGGTGCAGTGTCCATAGCTACAGCTTTAGCTTATGGTCTAATAACATATCATGTTTGGTCTGGAGGGCTGATTGCAAAACTAGGTGTATCAACCGCACAAGGAATGACATCACTTGTGAAGTTAGCTGAGCCATTAGGGCTAGCCTTAGATTGGTGACACAGCATCCTGACATACAGGCCACCGGCAAGAACTGTATAGAAGTGGTGTTTTTCACTTATTGGACTTGGGTATGGGCCCCCTTTTTCTCAGCTTGGTTGGTGGGCTTGGGACACATAAATAGCCCCAGGCCGTGGCAGGTGGTGCGAAGACAAGAGTTGGGATGAGTTCTTGGTGAGCATGTGCGAGAATTATACGATCTCTCAATCAGGTGGAGCCAGTCGGGCATTGGATGAGACGTAGATTTCCATAGGGGAATCTCCCGGCCAGCAGCCCACTTAGGGTCACGAGATTCAGAGGGCTGAGAAGGTGGTGTACCCTTAGCACAGACCACCTGAATGTGTGCTATACGATGGACAGCATGATTCAGAAATAGGAGCTCTCCCTGCTCTATAAATGGTCCAAACGTATAGGCTACTCCGGATTGAGAAGTATATCGCACTACGGTCAAGCCCCCTTGTACTTGGGGGACTAATTTAAATAAATAAGAAAGCTGTGTCCCAAGTTTTAACCCAACAGCCTGTGTCTCGCCTCTTCATTTCTGGGCTCAGAGAGCAAACGGTATGCACCTGGAAAAGAATCAATGTATTTTTGGAGAGAAGGGACAGTATGAAAAATGATTAAAAATACAGTGAAGCCTCACAAAACGAATGCCTCACGCAACGGAAAACTCGCAAGATGAAAGCGTTTTGCAATATATATTTTTTAACTCGCAAGATAAATTTTTCTATGGCCGTGATATGCAAGATGCATTTCCCCCCCCTTTTTTTTGGTTTGTTTTAAATCACACATCCGTTAGTACCGCGTTTCACAAGTTGAAATTTTCGCAATACGGCACGACTCACAAAACGAATTAATTTCGTCTTGCGAGACATAACTGGACAGGGGTGATAATTGTGGTTTTGTTTAGTTTAAGTTGATTTGTTAGTGTGTTTATTTTGTTGTCTTTTTTATTGTTTGGAAGTTAATAAAATTATATATTTTTAAAAAGTATGATTTTAGAATTACATGCAACCATGTGGAGAAACCCTCCTTGGACTTCTCCTTAAATTTCTTTGACAGCCTGCTTAAAAGGTCCTGCCAGGTTTAGAATTTGAACCATGAGATAAGTTTTTAGGAGGTTGAAGATGGCATGTTAGAATTGCAAGAGAGACAGACTCTGAAACGTAATGTATATCCAGTGGGATAAAGAATTAAAAATACAGACACTGGAAATAGAAGAAGACATAGTTCCAAAATTTTCATTTAATTCTATAAAGTTCTTCTTTGAGATTATACAGAAACACACAGAAACCATAATTTCAAATCCTTATTTGATGATGGAAACACAGTTATGCTGGCAGTGGTAACTTCTTAAAAACCCCACTAAGATTGCCAGAAGTTTCTTGACAACACGTAACAACAACAAAAATTGGGGTGAGGTCAGGTGATGTTGGAAAAAAGTGAGAAGGGTTTCTTAGTTTAAAATATATTGCATGCTTTTCAATTAGGTTAGCTATGGCTTTTTTGAACAAGCTCTGAGTGACAACATTCAGTTCCCCTTCTTCTATTGGATGACTCCCAACGAAGATTCACAGTATGTGGGGATTGTTTCCCTACTCCGGCATTTTGGATGGAACTGGGTTGGCCTCATTGTTCCGGATGATGACAACGGAGAAACCTTCCTTAGAACTTTGACACCGAAGCTGTTTGAGAGTCATACTTGCATCGCCTGGACCATGATGATCCCAAGAGTATCTGTACACTTACCGGAAGAACTACTACTTCAAAAACTGGAACCCATTCTGTACACTTTCCGACCGATTGAAATCAACGTGGTTCTTGTGCATGGAGACAAACAGTCTTTGGAGGCATTATACTTCATTCTATTGTACTTTGAACTGTTTGAGAGACAACCACAAAGGAGGGTGTGGGTAACGACGGCTCAGTGGGATTACACATCTTTACCAGCTGTGTTAAAACCGAGCTCAGAGTCACTCAATGGAACCTTGTCATT